TATATATATATATATATATATATATATATATATATATATATATATACCGATTACTTATAAACAATTAATCACATAATCAATAATCATGTAACCAGATAATCAAATAATTACCTCCAAATATATAATTGGAACCCGATTATCACACCGGAAAATATAGACGGCGCCGATGAGCATGGAGCACTGTCGGGGAAACGTTTATTCAAAAGGGAGACTGTGATATTTATACATATCTAATAGATATTATATTAATATATAGAAATATAGAAATTATGTTATTTTTATTTTTTCTAAATAAAAATAAAAAGACCAAATTACCTTTGACTTAACGGAGCTAAGATTAACGGCTATAGGACAAGAGACCCAATTCATAACAAAATGAAACTACAAAATAATCATAACTGTGATTATTTCATTTTGGGGGGGGGGGACCTAATCCATAGTTTGTGTGTGACCACATGGATGAAATTTGTAAGCCTGGTTTAGGGGTGTGAAGAAAGTTATTAATTTGATTTAAACCAACCGATCCAATTAAAAAATCGACTGCCTATAATCAAATATCACATTCTAATTGGATTGGATCAGATCCAAATTTTCAACATTCAAATTAGATCAGTCGTGCTTGGATGACAATCCATCATTTAATAAAACTGAATCAATCCAATCCAATGACAATGCAATTACTCATCCAATTGATAACTATATATAATTATTAACATTTTAGGATATTGTTTTTTAGCTAATATTCATATGCATTGCTTTTTAATAATTTAAAGAAATATATGAATAATTGGTTGAAATGGTGGATTAATAAGTTGAAAATAGATAAAAATATTGAATGAATCCAATTTGATCCAATGGATATCAACAGTAATATCCAATAGATGTGATAGCTCTAATTTTTAGAGTTATTACATACTTTTTATTTTAATATTTTTTTTGTTAAATCCGATCATTTTACTTCTTAAATACCCATTTTTGGCATAATCTTCATTTTTGAGCAGAAGATGTCCACTATAGTAATGTTAAACCATTTAGTGTGATTTTATACAGCATTCTTAAGAAATTGTTCGTAATACCCACTCCAAAAAGTTGAAAGTTAACCCGAGAGAGAGAGAGAGAGAGATTTCTTGTTCTCCATTTTATGATGATAATGACCATAACAATGGGATAAAGCCATTCCTCACCTATCTCCATTAAAGTAGCATTCCTCAACCTTCATTTCTTTTTTAAATGATTTTAAGGGGCCGTTTACCAAACGCTTACCTAGGTAAGAGCTTACTAAGTCACATTACCTTACCGGATGAATGTGGTAAGGACCAAGAATCTTATCCGGTAAGAACAAGGCAAAGAAAAGAGTCTTACCCGGTAAGTGAGGGCAATGACTCTTACCGCGGTAAGCACTTACCAGGTAAATTATTGCATACAATGACGTTTTCGTGAACTAAAAATCTTACCGGGTAGGTAAGTGATAGTGTTAAATTTTACAGGTAAGCGCTTACCGGTTAAGTATTTGATAAACGGCCCCTAACTCAGTTCTACTTAAGTCCACCATTTACAACAAACAACATCTTAGCCCCTTGATGTGGCTTCTTTCACAACCTTCTTTCTTTAAGCCCCTTAGTTTGCACATCTCCCTTAATGACAATTATTTCCATTTTGGGGTGTTACATCTAACACAATCATAGTTGTAAATAACTTGTTACGACCTCGTTATGACGTGTTATAACGTTAAGGTTTGGATTTGTTGTCACATATATCCTCATGGTTCCACTCTAAGGTCTAGCTTGCCTTGTAACTCGTTATGACACGTTGTGGCATGTTATTGTCGCATTATTTTGTGATGTGTGGGGTTATTTTTAATATATAAGTTGAGGGATAAAATAATAATTATGTACTAAATCTAGAACTTAAATAAACATAAAAAGAAAATCTAAAAATTAAAACCTTAAATAGATAAATACTTACTATCATTCTCGTAATGAGGTGTCGAACACGAGTTCTTTAAAAATTGAAGAAAGTAGTGAATAAAAATGATCAAGAGATGTAGGGGTTGTTTACCAAACACTAACCTGATAAGTGTTTATCGGTAAAATTTAACAATATTATTTATTTACTGGATAAGATTTTATTCCACCAAAACGACATCTTATGCAATAATTTACCTCGTAAGCACTTACCATGGTAAGAGTTGTTGCCCCTACTTATTGGGTAAGACTCTTAGGTCTTTGTTTTGCTCTTACCGGGTAAGATTATTGGTCCTTATCATATTCATCGGGTGAGATAGTGTGACCGGGTAAACGTTTGATAAACAGCCCCTTAATCTCGATTTTACTCTCTTGATATCATTTTATATAAGCTTTATATTTTATACCAAGACAAACCAACCAATTCATATACCAACAGTACAAATTATAATTAAATGATAATACAATACCAGTTATATGCTCCTCTAATATTTTTTTTATGAGAAATAGAGTGTTTCTAGACAATTAATTGTCTCAATAATTAAAATAAATGATTAAATATTAATTCAATGGCTTTCGTGGCTAAAAATCCAAAACCTCGTAATTATTTTGTCTAACCACGAATTATTAATTATATTAAACCAATCACTAAAATAACGACGTTTAATGATTTGATAATTAGTAGCGTTGACGTTTGGATGTATCTTAGTTGACGTCAATTATATTCTCATGGATAACTTGGACACATATCACGCATTCCTCGATTCACAATAAAAAAATGTTTGCAATCGAATTTTCCCTCTCTAAATCTCTGTATATATACATACACACACGTGTTATTCATCATGAATTTGTGGTTCATGATGAATACACGTTCATAACATGTCCATATTCATCATGAATGTGTTATTTATGATAAAGATACTTCCTGAAGAGGGAAAGTAGCATGTTGTGGACGGTTCCTAGGTACTTGATCAATTTTGGGTTCCTAACGGGACTCCCCCCGTCTATATATATATGTGTATATATCGAATGCCCAAGAAAAATAAGTCTTCGACACCAAAATACACAAATACGAATATCACAATAAA